GCCATTGCCGCCAGAGGTGGAAACCCCGAGACCTGTGAGGGTCGGGGTGCCCAAAGCAGCGCCAACGCCGGAGGTTCCCCCAATGCCAGGTGAACGCAGACCAGTTGTCGAAATCAAAAAGTCAGAGCCAAAACCGTTGAGTTTTGCCTCATTTTCAGGTAGGGGATGAACTTTTTTTGTGAGGATGTAGGGTTCAGTGAAAGGCACAAGAAGCTCATAAAAGAAGCCCATTAGTTGGAACATTCCCTCACTCACTTTGATAGAACTTGTTACTGCGAAGTGTGTCGTAGAGCTAAAATGACTCAGCGGCAAGAAGGGGGCAGACAAGGAGGGCGAGGAAACCCCGCCACCCCATTTCGGCCATCGTTTAAGAGCTGATCACACCATTCTTGGCTCCGACCTGACCAAGGGATCAGAAGGAGAACAAGCCTGTTTCATTTGTTGTGATGATTTCAGTCGGTGTGTTGAAGCCTTGCAAGGACTCAACGAACTGTAGATCACAACATCCAAGCGCTTCAGAAGTTCGGTGGAACTCGCGCTCTTGGCAAAGCTCCTTGTGTTGTTCGCTCTGACGCAGCTGCTGAAATCACAGAGGCGGTAAAATACCTTGGTTGGTTGCCTGCGCCCGGGATTGCGACCACAACCCAAAAGTGGAAAGACCAATCAGGTCAATCAAGGAGGGAACAAGAGCGATCCATCTAAAGGCCGGCTTTCACCACGCCTCGTGGCCGCGATCCATCGAATACTGTTGTGTTGCAAAATCAATTTCGCAACCAGTGCCTGTGCATCCGCATGACACTGGGGAGACCAAAAGTCTAGGAAGGTTTAACAGCTTACGAGGCTGCTAATAATGGTGAACCCTTCACTGGTTACAAATGCCATTAGGCGCCCTGGTTTACTATAAGCCAGCTAAGCACGGAGATCTCCCTCCTTTCGACCCTCGAACTTTTCCAGGAAGCTTCGTTGGTTGGAGGTATGAAGCTGTTAGGACAAGATCTAAAGGATACGGCAGACCTTTGCAGGTTCACAGCACAGCTCTGAGCTGGTGATGCAGGGAACTTTTACCTTTCCACTCTTTGAAGCCCAAGTGTCGAAACTTATGCTGTTCAAGCCGGGTGCGGAGCTCAAATCATTTGAAACAAGGGAAGCCCTGCCTTTTGAAGGCAACGCCCCCAAACCTTTGGTCAGGCCCAGAAGAACCTACGTCACCCTTGAACGGGCGATGAGGTTAGGCAAGACTCCGGGGTGTAAAAGGATGCGCCAAGATTGCAGAGGGCAGTCCCCACTCAGATGAAACAAACGATTGCTTGAACATGAAACAGAAGTCGACGCGGAGAAGCGGCCATCTGCTCCCGCCACTCCAAAAGCAGCAGCAATGCCCGCTTTGCAGCAGAATGCCAATGCAGGTCCAGCTGCGAATCCTTTTTGTTTTGGGAATTCGATGGGAAACGGATTCATGTAAGAGACTCTTTATTCCAGGGCTGTGCCGTTTGTTTGGTTCAGACAAGATAACTTCACATCGTTTAACCGAATGGAAATGTAAAGGGCGATAGATAGTCGACCTATGAGGACGACTGGCAGCACGGATCTCCTAACCGCCGCATTTCGTCGAGGAGCATGGACAGGTGTGACATGGTTCTTCTCAAAGGAGCCAGTTGAAACCAAAATCGCTAAAGTTTCTGCAACGCAAGCGAATTTGCTGACTGAACCGGACACTCTGAAAAGGGGTGACCATGCCGTGGCTTCTATCATTACGGACCTCCAAGAAGGGATTACCAAACCAAACATTCGAGAAGCCGTAAATGGACTTGTGCATAGTGCTTGTCAACACATGTCTTTCACATGTGTCCTAAATCAAAATCAAAACGCGATACCAATCAAGCGATGTTTGAGTTTTGTTGTAGCCCCGACTCAATGATGGGGAAAATCCATGAGGAATTTGGCATTGGTCACATCAGGCTTACTGCTGAGAATTCTGACATGTATGCTAAAAATGCTGGCGCTGACCTGTGGGGCTCATTGCCACGCAGCCCGTGGTCAAATTGGCAGAACATGTGTGTGCACTTGTACGGTGAAAGCTACAAAAAGAAATTGCACAAAAATCAGCGCAAAAGCCTTAGGATGTTGGAAAACTACTTGGCAGCCGCTGAAAAAGTGCTTGCTCAAGGGGGCCATGTTGCCTTCGAGTGGCCGAAGAACTGCGCCGGTTGGTCGATGCCGAAACTCATCAAGTTTATCAAAAGACATAACTTGTTTGAGGCGACCTTCGACGGGTGTGATTTTGGGTTGGTAGATTCCGAAGGAAAGCCACATCGCAAACCGTGGAGAGCAGTGACTTCTTCTTCGAGGCTTGCCAAGAACCTAAAGGCGCACAAGCGCAAACATCCACATGATTTTGTCCATAGCCAAGTTGCTGGTAACAAAACAGCACTAACGGCACACTACCCAGAAGCCATGGTCAGGTGCGTCGCCGCTTGAGAGCACTGTGTTTGCGGGCGTGCATCACTTGATAGATAGGCGAGATTTGCATAAGCATGTGGGCTATCAGCAAGCCATTGACAAAGAGGCGAATGGTTTAATAGTGAACCAGACTTGGTCCTACGATGAAGTTCCAGAAAAGAACCTCTGGGCATTGGCAGACTTATGACCATTTCAATCAAGCACTTCGAAACCCCGGAACTGAGAGCTCAAAGCCAGAATTGTTTTTCGAGATGACATTCTGGATGAATCCACTAACCTAGCGGTCCTGCAGGATCTCAAGGCAAGCCCCACAGGTTTGACTGGGATAAATGTCAATTTGTCTTACGGATCTTGTGAAGGGAATGTTTCTCAAATGTCAGACGTTGCGCCTCAGGAGTTCCAACATATAAAACGGCCTTGTGTCAGGTTACGCCGTTTCCTGTATGGGCATCCAGAAGCCGGTTTCCACTATTGGGATGCTAAATTCAACCAAGTGATGGAGGTCAACACCTTGACAATATCTTTCAGCCTTCGTATTGGCAGGCCCTCGCCAGGAAGTGGAACGTCTCCTGGACCAAAATTGAGGAAAACCTTGAAATAGATCCAACAAGTGCAGCGGATCGAATTCTCGGCCGAAAGCATGTCTATGACCACTCTGAGGGAAAAACCACCATCTTTTATGATATGGTAGATTTCTGTCGATCGTCCTGCAATCTATACGTGGAGCTTTCACAGAGAGTTTTCAAGGAAGCTTCCACTCCTTTTGCGCCAGACGGTGCGATTGTGAACACAGATTGGGACGAGAAGGGTGCTCTAAGTACATCAGCCAGTCGGGTGCTCATGAAAATTGTGTGGTGTGCCAGGTTGGCTAGGCCGGATCTGATCAAACCAATCAACGACGTAACCAGGAAAGTGACGTGTTGGAGCTTGGCTGACGACAAGAGGTTGTTCAGACTTATGTATTACTTCCCTTTCAAGTCGCTGAGTATCAACTTGTACACTGATGCGGACCATGCATCAGAGACTGAGCATTCCAAGTCGACGAGCGGAATGGTTCTGGTTCTTCAAGGACCGAACTCATTCTTCCCATTGACATGGGCAAGCCGCAGACAAACCGCATCGTCACGATCCACAACTGAAGCCGAATTTATCTCTTTGGACGCCGGCATATTCGGTGAAGCGTTGCCCGTTCAAGCGTTGTGCGAAATACTTGCTGATAAACTGGTTAACTTGATCTGCCACGAAGACAATTCAGCGGTGATAGCAATCGCTCACTCAGGGTATTCTCCGAAGCTCAGGCACTTGTCAAAAACTCACAAGATAGACTTACATTCCTTCTATGAAGTTTTGCAAGATGATCATGTCCAGTTGAGGCACATAGCCACTGATAAGCAACTAGCTGATATCTTCACTAAGGCCCTTGCACCAGCAAAATGGCAAGCTGCCTTCAGCATATGCAATGCCTTCCTTCCCAGCACGCAGGAAGGGGGAGTTGAAGAATACTGCGCATTATGCATGTTTGACAGGGTGCGATGCCAATGATGCACCACCACTTCCAAGACATGTTTGGGCAGTAACCTTCATGTGGCATGCTTAGCTGAGAAGGGACTCCTTGAGTGTAGTTCGCTAGGAGGAATTGTCATGTGTAGGGTAGACGTTGTCAGTCCACCGTTTCACATATTCAGGAACCCATGGTTAAGCAAAGCTTCCATTTATGAGGTTCATTCCTTTTGCAAACATGACAGTTTGCAGTTGTCATGTGTTTCAGTTCTCCAAAGGTACCAATCCTCCAAACGCTTCCGCGTTTGGCTCAAGCTGCTCGAGGGTTAAAAGGAGTGCGTCCGCCATTTACTTGACGACGTGCAGTATTATTTATCTTTTGGCGGCGACATTACTTGGATCAGGATTGGGATTGCTTGAAATCAAACACAGCGAGCTGTTCTTATCTTGATTCAACTCTAACATTTCGAAGCCAACCGTAAACCGACCTGAAACCAACCTGAAACCAGTATTCGGTCGCTTGCACATTCCAGAATGGAAATGGCACGCTTACATTTCAGCGACCGGGCAGAGCTTCAGTCTCGTCAACTTGGCAATCCACTCACACGAACATCGTCTGCGGCCACTGGCTCATGCTTGGTGAACGGAGTAAGAAGTGGGCGGTACGCAGTGAAGACTTTTCCCACAAGAAATACAACCACAAGCAAGAAAAAGGGTGTCACAAGGCCCGCCACAGGTTTTCGTACATGGGACTCAGACCACACGTTCCCCCACAGAGTTCACTGCTTTTGCAATGATGGCTGAAGCTCCAAATGTGCCTGCACCGGTGACCAGTGACGCACTTCAGAGCCAGTTCGAAGCTCAGCAAGAGCCAGCACGATGCACGGCACTATGATGCATCAGCTCTGATGTTGCGCCCTATGACTATGGCTGTAGCACGAAGTATGAATTCTGTGTACTGTGTAAACCAGCAGTTTCAGCGCATGGTGCTACTGTGCAACACAAACCTTCTGACAGTCTCAGCACATGCCCTGGCCAGCCTCTACGCAACATCCGCTCTGATCCGCCCTATGACAATGGCAGTATTCTGTCAATCAAGTCACGACATCAACGTGCTCGTGCTCGGGAATTGTGGCAGGGGAAGCAGCTATGCCAAGCTGGTCTAGTGTAAAGCTGGTAAGTGAGAAAGTTGTAGTGTCACAATGCTAAGTTGCCACACGGCGCCCGCACGCTGCAAGTTGGGCACAAGCGACAAGCGCGCAATCACACAGCGTCTGCAGCTGCAACAAAATGATCTACGCGACTACATGATGGTGCGAACAAAATGGAACGGAGTTTTGCCATACTCTTGCGCATGGGTCACATGCTGCCGCGACCCTTTGGTCTCGAATTTGGAAAGAATCCCCCAAGCGCCAAAGCTCAAAGGCCGTAGCCTATCGATCGCAGCCTACACTTCACAATCTGTTCCTTGCCCTTGGGAGCAGTTCCAGGGCCAGCAGATGTGAGCTCCGGAATCTTATTCCATCAGCACACATCTGCTGAATTGGGACACATTGCAACCTTTGGTGCACGTCGAAGGACAAAAATGGCTCGAATCGTGCAGGCTCGAGAGCAGTTGGAGGCTGCATCAACCCACACACGAACTACAATGGCTTAACCCCGACTTCACAAGACCTGCGGCACCGCATCATACCTCAGACTGATCGGCAATGCACCACATCAGTCTTGCTTTCAACTGGGCAAGCCACCGCGGAAGTGCTTGCTGCGAGGATCGGCTCCGAGTACAAACACCTGAACTACAGGCATGCCATTATATTTGCACCCAGTTTTGAGGCTTTCACCGCTTAGTAGAGCGACGAGACCTTGCAATGTCCGGGCACTCACCAGAAGCTCAAAAGCCAGTCTGAGCTGCTGGCACAGACAGCCAAGTGCAAACGCAATGTGCATCTCCTTGGGTGACCCACACATGACGTGTTGCCTCCTGCACATTTGCAAACATGTATACTTCATGTCCAAAACACTCAACTGCCAGCAATTTCCACTTTTGCCACGTGCAATTCGCTCCGCCTTTGGCCCATTGCCCATCCAGGCCTTAGCGTGCTCAGCCTCCGCCGCATCCACCTGAGCAAAATTTGACCATCGAAACATTTGTTTTGATGTTGATGACGTTAGACCATGCCAGCTGTCAGGGCGGCATGGTCACTAAAAAACTCTTGCTGCAAAAGTGTGGATCAATGCCCTACATGACAGTGTGGACCACTGTGCGCCAAAGTTCGCTGGGGGCTACCTGAATTTCACACCACAAGGAAAGCCTTGTCCACTCCGTTCGGATCCACTGTCCATGGAGTCTCCCTCCCCCACCTCCCCCTCTCTCTCCCTCTCTCGCTCCGTCTCCCTCTCTCTCTCTCTTGCGCTCTTTCTCTCTCTCTTGTTAACTTGCAGTGCTTGCAGTGGAAATATCCACACTCCGCCGCCCTTTGGGTCGATTAGGGCCCTTGAGTCTCGATCTCAGAATCAACTGTAGCAGTGTGCCATGGACAAATAGTGCGATTGCGGGCCGACTTGGCTCATCTGCCACCAGTGCAACGCGGGCGCCAATCTCTCCGCGATTTCTGTTTTGGGTTGCAAGGATGTCAACTGCCTCAGTATGTGGCTGAGATCAACAGTGCGGATTCAGTCGCCTCCCACGTCCCTGAGATGAACCAGTACCGCGGGGAGCACTGGATTTGAATCAAGATTAAAGCCAAGCTAAGAAGATGCAAAGAAAATATTTACTGCTCTCATGAACATCGAAGGCGAGGTTTGAGTCAGACGCATAGCTGCACAGTGCATTCGTCCGCTTCAACACCGACAGGAAGGTGTTCCAACCCCGTGTGTAGTTTCAACCTGAAAACTCCTTTGTCAGGTTGCGGGAGCGTGCTAAGATGTATCAGCAGCTTGCAGTGCTTGCGGTGGAAATATCCACACTCCGCCGCCCTTTGGGTCAATTAGGACCCTTGAGTCTCGATCTCAGAATCAACAGTGTGCCATGGACAAATAGTGCGATTGCGGACCGACTTGGGATCAACAGAGTTGACAACACGTCACCACATCACTTTCACTTTTACATCTCTCTCTCTCTGCCTTTCTCTCTCTCTCTCTCTCCCTCTCTCTGGGACTGTGGTTGACTGCTCTTCACTCACCCTGCCTTGGCTTTGAGCAGTGACAAGTCATATCGCCGGATCACAGTGTCCTCTGGTGACCTACGTGAAGCTAAAGGCTGGATGCACCGACTCTCTGTAGACTGAAGATTCTGAGGATACCGGCAGGTCATCAAAGGCGTTGGAGCTTGGGAAGCTCGGCCTGAGGCTCGCCAAGCGTCTCAATGAGCGTCGAATGCTTCAACTATGGTTTGCTTTGCTGAGATACCTGCTGTGCGTCCTGCACTGTGCAATGCTCAAGCCATGCACGGCAAAAAGCTCCACACCAAAAGAGACGGATGTTAGTCCTCGCACACCTGCTGGTTTTTGCCTTGGAGAAGCAAAGGGTGATCAACAGGAACGGTCAGAAAGAGGAGCCCACATGTCTGAGCACTGGGCAGCAGTACTCTCCCACATCAGCAGGCCACTGATCTTTCCAGTACAAATTGTCGGCACACTTGAAGTCAACCTTAGGTGCTCCAAGTTCGGCAAAGTGGCAAGGCAACTCGCCAAGCTTTGCGCATTGGACCCGTCATCGTCCGCGATCACAGGCCTCCCAAAGCCCACAAATGAAATCGCTCCAGCCAAATGTTGACCATGAAACAGAAGGTGAAATCCATGCGATGGGCCTGTCCACAACCTCTCTGCTTACCTGCGCCTGCTTGCGCACATTCTAATGTCACACAAACTGAGTATCTCAGGCCGGGGCCGAGGCATGCATCGAAGCTTCGACTGGATTCTCGCTCACCTCTCGAACCCGAACATACTGCTTCAAAGTCCACTGCCAGTCGCAAGAAAGAAATATATCTACACCAAGGGCTCTGGAGCAACTGCCCCAATGTGAATCTAGTGAATCTAGTGAATCTAGTGCAGGTAGTGCTTGTCTTCTCTACTTCCTATTAGCTTCAAATGTCCCCTGAGGAGTTGTGTAGAAACGCGTACTCCGGCCTGAAGATCGCGACTTCGAGTTCGAGCCTTGGATTGGATTTCTTGGGACGCTTCCCACGGGGCAAATAGCGAGTGTTCAAAGTCACTCAGCTCAAAGCTCCTCCTCGACCGCATGTCTTTGAGCACGAAGTCCAGTCAGACCAAACACCTGGCAAAGGACTCAAATGACTATCAAATCAAAGTTGAGTCAAGGAAAGTCAAGGCATTTCGTCTGGGTCAAGGCTCGCACTCCAGGAGCAGTTGTACCTTGGACGGCACGGCGAATCACGATGGAGCCTCGTTGCGACTTTCAGCGCGCGTCGCAACGTCAAACCTCAGTCCCTTGCCATGCCACTGGGCACGAACCCGAACCAGGACTGCTGCAACCCTTGATGGCACGGAAGCTGCCAGAGCATTCAAGTCCTCCGTTTGCCTTGGAAACTGCAACTGTTTTACAACTCAAAGCGCAGAAGATTCAAAAGCACACGTTGCATAGCAAGTTGAGGGCTGGTGTGTGTGTAGAAAACTGATAAAATCAAATGCATTTTAGTTGCCACCACCCCGAAACAATAATGCTCAGCTTGTTGAAAAAGTTGCTTCATATGTCTTATGACATGACCACCAACCCTTGCAAAGGTAGCGATGGCTGTGAATGCCCTTGCTGGCCTTTTTGACATGCACTTTTGGGGCACGACCACCGACTTCTTGCAAAGGATAGCAGTGGCTGAAAACTGCACCAGCAGCGCACATTTGGCTCCAGGCCGCGCAAAAGGTGCAGCTGTTCCGTAGCACAACCGCGTATCAAGTTTGCATGGTAGCTGACAGTGACAAAGACCTGCGGATCAGAGAACCAACCGAGATGAGTTTGGGCCAGGAGAGCATTCACAAAGACTCATCGAGAAGCACCCAAACCGATGCATGGAAGCAACATACCCGCAGTTCACGAATCTAGAATCTGAGGCTATTTTTCGTAGCGGCATTTTGACAGCAAGCACTTTGAGGCATGACCACCGGGCTGAAGCACAAAATGGCAGTGGTCGATCAAATCAAGGCATATGCTCGCGTTCAGCCAGCTTAACAGCGTTTCAGGTAAAGCATTGCAGACTGGGACTATATCGAGCGAGCGCAAACCGGCCACCTATGACATGCAGAGTCCCATGACAGTTGCTTAGGAAGAGAAGAAATTGCTAAGATATTCCAGCGGACTCTAGCCGCTTTGAGCTAGTTGTGTGACACAAGCCATTCTAAGAAATGAGCGGCATGACGAGCATAACCACGTGTGCGCGTCATCTTGTCGAACGCATCACACCTTGATCTAAATGGCTTGATCGCGGCCACTTCTGCAACTATTCGAAATTAAGGATGCCACCCGCTCCATTCAGTCCAGGCTTCCCATACACAGTCAACCTAGATGAGTCACGGATGAGAAAGAGTAAAATTGCTGCACACAAGCAATGATGCAAACTCCAAAGTGCAAAAAAGACTGGTTCTGAGTGACCAGGGCGTAGACCCGGCTCTGAATGTCTCTCAAGCTCGCCACAAACAAGTCCGCACACTGTCATGCCAATCTGAGATGCGCACGCGGCCCTCAAAACAACTGACGCCGGCATTGCAATTCTGGATCTCCTGCATTGGAAACTGCTCCTTTGCAGCTCGCCCCTTGCATCTGGACTCAACTCCTTCAAAGCTGAAGGACAAGCTTCTCCGCCTCTTTGGGGAGGTACCTACCAACAAGCGGATCTTGGCTAAAAGGGCCCAGCTGTCTTGGCTGCAAGCGCTGCTTGCACAGGGACACACCCATGCCTCGACGGTACGCTCTCGGACTGAGTAGCCCTTCTCGCACGTTGAGGAGCAAGGGGACCACTCAGACCTGGCAAAAACCCCACTGACAGCTGCCCATTCCTCTGGATCTGATGGCCGGCGGCACCAGTGGCCCATCACACAATCCTGAGAGCCATCAGCATGGTTCTCTTCGTTCCTCAGAAAGCTCCAA